CATCTCAAGGCATATCTCCTTCGATAAAGATCTATTTCCTCTATCTATCTCACAATCCATTGCAACCAACTCCACTTCATCTCAACCAATAAACCAACACATGAACCACCCTAATCCCTATATACTAATCCCAACCTCCACTCTCTCATCTCAATCTCTTACTACTAACCATGCCACTCCACTTACCCTCAGTTCCAACCAGTCAACTCTCCCTTCTCCTCAATCATCAGATTCATCACATACCAACCTCTCCTCAGCTCCAGTACTCCCATATCAACATCCCATGGTTACTCAACTCCAAACAGGTTCCTTAAAACCACGACAAATTCTCAACTTGCTTCATAAAATTCAACCTCCTCTTCCCATCTCTAGCTCAGATCCGACTTCATACAGTGAGGCATTTAAATCGTCTCATTGGCGGGAAGCCATGGCACTTGAATTCCTTGCATTACAGCAGCAAGGAACTTGGCAACTTATCTCTCCTCCTCTTAATGCCAACATTCTTGGATGTCGTTGGACCTATCGTACTAAATATCATTCCAATGGCACCATCGCTCATTATAAAGCACGACTCGTCGCTCAAGGCCATCATCAAGAACACGGCATTGACTATCATGATACTTTCAGCCCCGTGGCAAAGATGCCAACTATTCAGGTTCTACTAACAGTAGCAATTCATCACTCATGGCAAGTTCATCAAATGGACGTTGCCAATGCGTTCCTTCACGGTGATCTCCATGAAACTGTCTATATGTCCCAACCCAAAGGTTTTAAGGACAATCTTCATCCCAAACATGTCTGTCTACTGAGAAAAGCCACCTACGGCCTTAAGCAAGCCCCAAGCCAAAGGTTTCACACATTTTCCACCTACCTCCTATCTCTCGGCTTCCAACATAGCTAATCCAACCACTCTCTTCTATTTCTCTACCAACAAAACATCCAAATCTACCTTCTTATATATGTTGATGACATCCTCATCATTGGAAATGATTCTCCAGCCATATCTCGGCTTCTCGCTCAGCTCAATCAGAAATTTACTATGAAGTACCTGGGATGGGCTCACAATTTCCTAGGAATCAATATCCAAACCCATTCCTACTTCTACTTTCTCTCATAAGCTCAATATGCTCAATCCATTCTTCATCAAGCGGGTCTAACCTACTGCAAACCTCTCTCCAATCCTACCTCCACTAAACCAGTTCTCACTACATTCTCTGATCCTATACTCAACAATCCCCTCATCTACAAACAGCTCACTGGATCCCTACAATATCTCACCATCACAAGACCGGATATTGCGTATTCAGTGAATGTTCTTTGCCAGCAAATGCATAATCCACAACCGTCCCATTTTCATCATCTCAAATGAGTGCTACATTACATTAAGGGGACACTACACTATGGTCTTCCCATACATACTGGACAGCTGAAGCTTACATCCATGACCGATGCGGACTGGGCAAGTGATCAGCTCACCAGGAAATCAACCTCTGGCTACTGTTCCTTTTTACGGTCTAATCTTATTTCCTAGAGTGTTAAGAAACAACATACTGTTGCTAGATCTTCCACAGAGGCTGAATACAGAGCCATTGCAGCCGCTACAGCTGATATCCTATGGCTTCGCAGGTTACTTAGTGACTTCAACATATCCAAGGATACCCCAACATCACTCTATTGTGACAACATGTCAGCTCTTGCAAACAACCCGGTATTTCACGCAAGAACCAAACATATAGAGATTGAGCATCACTTTCTACGGGATCACATTCAAACCAACCATATCAAGCTTCTTCCCATCAGCACTATAGATCAAACAGTTGACATATTTACAAAGCCACTCACTACTACTAGATACCAGCAACTACATTCCAAATTGACGGTTCAACTGGATCCGTCAATTTGCGGGGAAGTATTAGCATAACCTTCCACTACTCTAGAATATTCTCTGCCAATAACCACTTCACATGGCATAACAAACTGTGTACCACACTCACTCACTCTTAGCCTATATATAGCATACTTACTATATCAAGTTGGATGAGATAAGAAATGAATTACTGAGCTTCATTACACAGTTTTTGTTTTACTCTGTATCTGCATTTCTCTACTATTATTGTATTTTTACAGTGTTCCAATAGTTATAACAATATAACAAGCTGTTGAAGATTATTAAGATTCAACCAATTCTAATAAACACAGGCATTATAGTGAGTTTGTTTGCTTGAGATGACAAACTTATTACCAATAGGCCAACCTTTGTATTAATTAAAGAGCATATTTGTAAAATATTGATTAATACAAATTCAATGTGTCAAATGTTGTGTTATCACCTGTAATGTCGAATCCCATGAGCTCATTGCTTCAAATTGCCTAATAATTCTGTTCATCACACCTCCATCTCTATATGGAGAAATTATTACCTGTGATTATCGAATGCCGTCCGGAGGCGAATCAGGTCTTATCACGTCACCATTTTTATTATATACTGGGTGATGTGGCGCATCCTGATTCGCCTCCGAATGGTCCGATAACTACACATAATAATTTCACCTTTATATATTGCCAGAGTAATATAATACCTCTACATGTATAATAATAATAATAATCATAAATATTTACATAAATAGAGCAACTCAAATAATAGGTTCAAACTTATAGACTTGATGCATAATACTTTAGTATATAGAATTTTGCTTAACATTTTCAATTTCTTTCTTCACGAACTCTTTATTTTGATAAATACTCATTCTTTTACATGAAAATTAAAAATATAAAGAATCCTATACAAAAATAATTATTTAATTGCTGCCAATTAAAAATAATGCATGTAAATGTAGAATCATAAAGATTATATGTTTATTGAAAATAATGTCAAAACAAAAATCAGATTGCATTAAATTTAGTAAAAAATAATTATGTAATTAAGCTAATTACTAGAAATTTGTTAATAGTTAAAACTAAATGATCTTCAAAAACACACCAATATAAGTTTATAAAATCCTACAAAATCTTCAATTTCCAAATAAAAATTAAGTAAAACATTTTGTGCTTTTGTAATCCCATTACCGACTTAAGGGCCAATTTGAAATAACTTTCTAACTGCTTTATTTTTAATATAACAACCACAATTTCATTATACAACTATTTTCTCGTTAGTTCTTAAAAAATTCTATTGTGATAAAATACTAATAATAGCTAAATTATTTTTTCCAATATAAATTCACAATCAACTTTACAAAACATTTATTATCATCACAAATAAATCCTAATAAAAAAAATTTCTAGTTTAAAAAATTATTATATTAAAAAACTGCTTTAAAAAAAAATAAGAAAAATGTCTCAAATGAAACCTTAATGATATCCATAAATAGATATCACAAGGGAGTTGAAAGATATGAGGAAAATCTTAAAAAAAAAAAATAAAATAAAATAAAACTAAGAAAAATCTTATGATATATAATGAGGAAAACTAAGTTGTAGGCTTAAACAAAAAAGTACACTTAATTTAGGTTTTATTTAGGACATTTTTTTTTCTATTTTATAAAATAGCTTCTTAAAAAAAATTTTCAAGTTTAAAAAATTGTTATATTAAAAAACTACTTTAAAAAAACAATAAGAAAAATGTCTCAAATGAAACCTTAATGCTATAGAAATGTTTCACTCACACGCAAGTCCGAATGTCTGATAAACTTAAATATTACAACAAAATAGATTAAATATCATAAAAAGAGAAAAACAAGCTTTAAGTGGCTCGGTTTTAATAAGCCAAAATGTAGACAAGAGAGGATATAATAATAAAAAAAGAAGCCACAAAAAATGACAGAAAATATTAGAAAATTATCCATTCGAAAAGTTTCAAACAAAAATGTTTCATCAAATAATTGAGCTAACACTTTAAACAGCTAGAAACGAACTCCTTATGATTTCCTTTTATTTTTTCAGCTTTTCTCTTCTCTCACTTTTCAATTTCTCAACTCCCAGGGTCATAAAAGAACACCACATAGAAGCTGAGCTAGTTGTGAATAGCAGTTAATAAAAATGTGGAAGTAGCAACAAAATGCAGCTCGGTTCTATTAATAACAGTAGATTTTTAGAAACAGCAGCATGCAAAATAACAGAAGTAGGACTCCATGAGGAAATTCCATCAGTACTTCAGCACAGCAAGAACCAAAGGATAGATTGCAGCAACAGGAAAACCGGAATTCGGCATTTAGCATTTAGGTAACGCATATAAAAGAAACCAGTTTTAAATAGCGTGGAATTCAGCATTTCAACAAGTAGCTAATATATATCACACATCTATGTAGGATTCAATACATGGAAACCAAAACAGAAAAATTAGCTAGCATTCAAAGCAGCATACACAAGCAGATGGCAGTAGGAAACTAGAAAACAACATTTCAGCATACGCTTGAAGCTCAGAATGATTAGACTGCTAGTTTGAAGCAAAAAAACAGAGACACTAAGGATCAAAGAGATGAGCATTGATCCTTGTAGGATCGTTTGATCAGATAGAATGGGGCTTGAAATCCCCACGGAGATGGAGATCGAGCTGAAGAGGAAACCATGAATAGCTTAGGGGATGCTTTAATGGGAGAGTAGGATTGAGGCAGACTAGCCAGTAGTTGAGGATGAGAGAACAAAGGAGAGGAGACTTGACCTAGGCAGCCATTATGAGAAACTAAGAGGTTCAAGGCCTTGACAGGCCATGAAGAAAGAGTTTTGGGGAAGAGGGAGATAAGAAGAGTTAAAAAGAATGCCATTAATCTATCCGTTTATATTTATAGATGAGGTCTCCTAATTACATGTAATGAAATAAAAAACTAAATGAAATTAAACTAATGTAAAGTATCATGATGGTGTGGGTGGTTTGCAATTGCAAATTATAATCCAAACCGGATGTCAAAGCCTTTACTATATTTTCTCTTTGCAAGGAAATTCATAGGTGCAACAGCCATCAAACTTCAAGACACGAATAAGTACAAAAACCTAATCAGAAATACTTACCAAATAATTCTTTATACAAAAATTATCTAACTTTATAATTATTTCAATTGTATTCGGATAAATTTTTCCAAACAATTATATACCATTCTAAATTTAATAAAAAAAAAAAAATAGAAACTGAGCAGACAATTTCAGCTTATAAGCATCTGCCAACATATGCATGACACAGTGATTTAGCACTGCATTAAAGTGTAGATAATGCGGTAAGAGATATCAAACAGATTCTTGATTATATACGTTGTCCTAATACCAACAAGTGCTATATATCTTTGCGGCCGCATATGCTCCATTAATTTAGTTACGTTTGAGAATTTGAAATGTTGCAGATACCTTCAAAATCTTTCTTTTTGTTGCACCCCATTCCAAGCTTCCCAAGTACCTTAGCAACATAGCAGGAGCCCACTTCCATATAAGATCTCGTAGAATCAACCCTTGAAGGCTGCAGGCATGGTATCTTCCTGGAAGTACTCACTCCTGACGGTCTCTGCATCACAAAATCTCACCTTCAAGAGAAAAATAAGTCAGTAATTAGCAAAGGGCCAATAAACAAAACAAAATCAAATCAAACTGTTACTTTTGAGCACCTAATAAGCTTCATACGGCCGACCCAAATAACATATCCACTCATTAAACCAACTATTCCATTAACCTAAAGCAATCCAAAAAAAGCCACTTGGACAACCCATATATATATATATATATATATATATATAATATATACTAAATAACAGCCTATATAGTCATATCATCGAATTCATCACAACCAACACTTGAGCGTTCATTGCCACATCTCATGCACCCCAATTGAAGCTCTCCTTCCATCTCCCGCTTCTTTCTCTCGCATGTGACTCTAGACGTGTGTTGAGCAAGCTCACCCACTCTCAGACCTGACACCCTCATGGTGTCGACATCTACCTTATTCCTGCACTTGCAGATAAGGTGTCGGCTTTCATTCTCAATCCCTCCACCTATGGTTCCGTATGTAGCTTTCGTTTCTGATGCTTTCTCACCTTCAACAAATTTCAAGCTTTTTTTCTCACATCTTCACAATTAGTTGATCTTCACCTCCTTGGTTATGATGGTTTCAAGATTTTCGGAATTGTGACTTTTTCCCCTTTGTCGTCAATTTTGTAACAAATCTCACCTCTCTACTTCTCCACATTAGTAGTTGCTCCTAGAATCTAGATGAACTTTTAGGTTTAGGTCGGCTGCCTCCTATCCAGGTGGCGCCTTGCCTCATAGAGGCTTCCTCTTTCTTGGCTTAAGTTTACTTGGAGCCCCATGCCGCTCAGCTATAACAACCCTTCTAATCATTTGCAAATGTTGTTAGGTAAGAGGCTAAATAATTCAATATTTCCTTTCCTCATCCAATCAACAATCCTTTTCACTTTATTATTATTATTATTTTTTGCATCTGGACCTGCATCATTCCTCATGTAGCATTCCATCGGCCTATTAAGGCAAGCATACTCTCATTCTTCACACAAAAAGAGGATCTCAAATTCTAGCCTAGGTCCTCATTGTTTTTTATATGAGAAAAATGTCAAAATATCTTGGCTATTTGTTAGACGTCATTTGTCCTAGTTATAAATATATTCAATATTATTCAATTGAAACTCCTCTAAATGATCCAAAATTAAATTCTTCTTGTTGGATATCTTGGATTGAATTGGAGGAGTCGATGGACTGTTTCGGAATTAGAATTTAAAATTCATGGGACTTAAAATTGAGATCACATTCAGACACTATGGATTAAAATAAAACTGCATATAAACAAATTCATCTTTTGACTTTTTTTATTTTATATATATGTTTGACAAAATCTCAATATAGGCCACCCAACTTATAACGGTCACATAGAAATTTAATGTCTAATTTTATTTAAGTTCATGACCATTCATGTATCATCAGAAGCCAAATTCACACTAAACTTCTCAGTCGTATGTCCTCCTATAGAACTTGTGCGTTTGCGATGCATATGTTACCATATCGCCCCCATTTGTCCTCTGTCCAAGATCCTCCTAATTTACTCAATTTGGATTGCATTCTCTGACGTCATTATATTAATTTTAATC